ATTATACCGGAGCGAGTTTGTCTCAGCTCGCAAGTCTCACCAGTGTCTCCTCACAGTGTGAACAGTTTATCAAGTATGAGTGTCATGATTCAATACTAATAAGACGGAAGGGAGGTGAACACGGATGGTGGGTGTCACGCGACTCCGCTAAAATGACGACCTGGGGTGGAGCAACACCTGGAAGTGGTAAGTGCGCATGCGGGATGACTAACTCTTGTGCAAACCCCAGTTATCAATGTAATTGTGATAAGAATGACGATGTATGGCGTGAAGACAGCGGTCTGCTCACTGAAAAGACACATCTACCAGTCAAACAGCTCAGGTTTGGTGACGCAGGTGATGGATCAGAAGAAGGATATCACACTCTGGGAAAACTTAAATGCTATGGAATAGCATGAGCAGTTAACATGGAAGCAGTAAAAAAAATTAATAGTTAGTCAAGCCAACCTTATATTTCGTTGAAAGTTTGGCTTTTAAGTTAGACTGTTCCTGAAATAGTATTAGAGAAAGTATTGATTTCAGATATATTCCTTTCTGACATGAGTAAATTTTCTTGATACTTAAGTACATAGTTCTATTGTGTGAAGTAACCACTCTGTTTTTTTTTTTACATTGACTTAATTTCGAAGATTTTAAGTGCACTCCAATTTACTTAAATAGTTTATGGAATTGTACGAGCAACTCATCTCACCTCCCGCTTCAATTTCCTATATTAACGACAGTTTCAGGATGTGCTTTGTTACGGACCGTGGAGTTGACTAGTCAGCTCTAGTGGCGTTCTAAGATTGTGGCCCAACTCGCAAAAGTTAAATGCTATGAGAGGGCATGTACGCTTCAATTCAAGTATAGATTAGAGTGTTTCCCGAAGCCTAGTTAGTCAAAAGCTGAAAACATCCTCAGAACATTTTAAGAATAGGAATAATAAAATCGCTTCTCATGTTCCTTTAGTCAGTATAGGCAGGGTAAAACGCTGTTAGCAAGAACTTCAAAAAGCTCTTGTTAACCAGTGTTTTACTTAAAAGACTCTAACGTGAATGACTGTAGTTTTATTTGCGGTCTAACAGAAATAACTACTTTAAGTACTTTGCGAAACTTTAGAGTTTCATTTTTTTTCACAACTAGTGCGTTGCAACTTTCTTAAGCTTGAAGGCTTCAACGGCTTCGCCAAAATTATATAATTTGCCTAGTTTGCACGTCAACTAAAGTGTCCACTTGTAATCTATCAAGGAATATCTTGAAACTTGCTGAGAAGTTCTTGTGTCCTGTCCCTTGTGACCTACCAGAAGCTTCGAGGCACCACTCAAAACTCGCGCTAAAACTGAATTGAACATGCAAACAAAGTGGACGAAGTGAGACGCGTGGTCTAGCGACTACACCATTGAGATAACTACTGCAGTGCTTTGAGCAGTTATTTTAAGATTCACGTTATTTACTTTGCAGGTTCATAAAAATTTCATGCACGACATTCCCCATCGCTAACTGCAACTAAATACAAACAATTGAGCGCTGGCTGACATTCCTTCCGAGCCAGCATTACTTGGTGGAGTGTTTTTTTTTATGTAGTTAATAAGACCATTCGTTGAAGAATCGTGTGACGTCACAGGTTCAGGGCCCTCCAACTCCGGCTAAATTGCTTTAGCAAGCTGTTTGCCTAATTCAACTCTGTAAGAAAAAAAAATCCAGAAAAAGAAACTGAATTATTTATTCTCCTCACTGTTTACTAAACAAAATGTCATAAGGAGAGCTTTCCTATTTGCCATTCCTTACACGGGAGTTTTACTGGATAAAAGGGTAATTCAGTATTATCAATAGAATTGATAACATATATTGTCCAAGGAATCGAGTCAGCATTCGCTACTTTTCTTCAAAAGCACGTCAGTGAGTATATTTAGGCTGGCACATGAAAGCCACAAGTCGCGCGTGTCTGATCACTGCCGCGTGTCTTACTCGCACCCGGTCACTTTGAAAGTATAGAAATAGCTCTCACAATCACATGATATTCAAATCATACATCTCATGGAAAAGATAACCTTAAACTATACGAGCAGATCACCACTGGAACATGTAAATATTCCGAAATATGAACATTTTACACGTAAGATTAACAGAACTTTCTCACTCCTGTGTGCCCATTGTACTTTCCAGCGTTCTCTGCCGTTTTAATCTTGCATTGGACTTGCTTTGCCATCACTGTTATTTCAGTTACAAAATGAAGTAATATGATCATAGTCTAATACCTCTGGTAAATTGAAGATGAAATCAGACGCGATCTGTTCAAGCAAAACTCTTGACTAAACGTTAAATAACTCTTAATACGCGTGACTGTTCGTGACTGACATTATTACTACAACAGAGTGCGTCTCATGTGACATCACAACAGGTCTCATGAGTAAGTATTGTAGCACAACAGGAAGTCAAAATGTTAATCGATCCGTCACGTCCTTAGGGACTTTATAAATACATTCGTGACTGAAGTACTTATCTTGTTAGTTTATTCGAGCACTAGATCTTCCATAAACCGGCCGATCGTCTTCTCAAAAGTCAAGATACATTGATCAGTATATGTCTATGAATTTGAGATATCTTTTTGAAAGCTGTAACAATGAAACAACATGGAAAAGCAGAGAAGCAAATGAACAGAACACAGATGTTGGAGCGCTTTTGTTCCGGGTCAGCCTTGTTGTTGTCTCTTTTATGTTGTATTGCGTGGATTAACGTGGAACTCAGAATACAAGAACACCATCGACTGATATCACACTCAGCAAAGTTCTGTGATAAGATAGAGACAGAAATCACACGAAAGATGCAGAAGAATTACGCACGCTGGCAACTTGAGAATATAAGGAAAGAGGAAGATGGTAAGTTTTGCTGTGATAGCCGTCATCTATTCCCAGTCTGTTACACCAATGTTCCACGCATACTTTTGCCTAGGTGATTCAGCATTTGACACTTTACAGTCTAGGGAAAAAATTACTCTTAAGTAAATCTTTTCTTTACATAACACTTTAATACATTTAAAAAAAAGTTTCCTCGCGAGTAAAGTTAAATTTAGCCACGGAACTGTGGGTTAAAATTCATAAACTGTGGTTGCAGAAGAATTTTCCTTGATAGTAAACGTCAAACTTTAAATTACAAGATAACATTTCCATTTCTTTGATGTCGATGAATATGAGAAACAGAGCCAATCTTTGATATTTTCAGACGAACAGGAAGCTATATCGAGAAAGAGACGCTTTACACGGGATGATTTACAACAAAACTCTTCCCCAGCATCCTCTTTTGTGCAAAAGCTGATCAAACAAGAGCTTGGTCTGCTGCAAAACCAAATCTGCGCAAAAAATCACACACTTTGCCAAGCAGGACAAAAAGGTAACAGAGGAAGACGAGGAAGACCGGGAAACCGAGGGAAACTGGGTCCTCCCGGAAGAACTGGCCCAGAAGGGCCACCTGGTAAATATGGACCTATAGGACCGCCGGGGCCGATGGGAATAAAGGGGGATGTCGGATTACCAGGGAGCCCCGGTCTCTTGGGACCACGAGGGCCACCGGGAGAGAAAGGAGCCACAGGTAAGCCCGGTAAGTCCCTCTCAGCGCCATCTCTGACTGAGCGACCCATTGGAATGACAGTCAATGAAAGTCAGACAGCCATGTTGAAATGTAAAGTGAGTGGTAACCCAAGGCCAAAAGTCAAATGGTCTAAGGTGAGATCATCGCTTCCTGTTGGACGTCACACGGTAGAGTCCAGTGGTACGCTGATTCTAAAAGACGTTCGACCTGGGGACGACGGAGTCTACAGCTGCAGGGCAGAGAGTTTGCTGGGACAAGTCAACACTTCAGCAAAATTAACTGTTCAGTGTAAGTCTTACAATTTATGTTTGAAAGTCACCAAATGAAACAGTTCATCTGACACACTGAGAGACATTCCTTGCCGGCAGTTTAAGCTTCCAAAGTTGAACCTTAGTCCTTAAAAATAAATTGACTATTTTTCTTATTTGATCCTGTAATTAAGGCATGACGTTGGGTGTTATGAAGCTAAACTATGACATTACAGTTTCCAGTGTTAACGCTTCTTGATGAAGGAATTATATCTGTGTTTTCTTTTCCACAGTCGTCCCTAAACTTAGGTTATCATCAAGTCGATTAATGGCTGAAGAGAAAAAAAACGTGACTATTGCCTGCAATGCTGTTGGTCAGCCGCGGCCAAGGATCACGTGGTCTAAGTCAGTGGGTAGTCTGCCGAAAGATAGGACTGAAGTAAGGAATGGAACGTTAAAAATCTATAGTTTGGCGAGAAAGGACAGTGGAATATTCATCTGTAAGGCAGAGAATACTTTGGGATCAGCGACAGACACCGCTCATCTCATGGTATTTACTCCTCTGAAGTTCAAAGTGCGTCCTCCTCAGGAGGTGACTCCACATGCTCCTGATCCTCTTTATGTACCATGTACGGCCGAGAGTGACCTGAGGGCTACAATCACTTGGACAAAGGATGGCATGTCTTCTCTTCCTGTGGAGTCTAATG